GCTCCGGATGCACTGAATTTGGGTAGAAAAATGTTGAACACATTTGAATTCACGGTACTGGTGTTTATGTTTTCATCATTGTTTTGAGTGGTTTCACAAACATTTCAATAGCTGAGAGGTGATCAGTTATTTTATATATTTCATGGGTTTCGTATTCGTAAAAATCATGTCATAATATACCGACATAGTCCAATCTCTACAGAGGCCTACAAGAGATGGAGTTTCATTCCAGTGGACACCCGAAACCAAGAAGCGTTTGAAAAATTGAAGATTACACTATTTGGAGCTCCAATATTGAAATGCCTATAGTACAAGACGGGAAGGGAAAATTCATCGGGTACTTTAGTAAAACACTTTTGAGACAGGAACGAAACTGCTGTGTCACCTTAGCCAAACAAACAGTTATTGGGTCCAGTGTAATTCTTTTACGTTAGACCTTGGTATTTGAAAAAGAATATGAGAGTCTTAATGCAATCAGAAACAAGTTTCGAGTGGTACTTCCGAAGAACAGAGTATGACTTTATTCTTAAAAGAAATCCATAGCGAAGGACATTTGGCGTTACGAAGATTCTGGGGAAAATACGTGAGCAATTTTATTGAATCAGTCAACTCAGACTCCGATAGCCGAAAAATTTTTGGTCGTCATAAATTACTTTAGCAAGTGAAATATACGCGATATTGAAGAATCAATGGAGAATCAATGGAATTGCATTCCAACGGAGGCACGAATTTCGAGTCGACTTGGTTTGAGAAGGTCACTGAATCAATCGGCATGACAAAAATGAGGACTATGCCAACATATATGTTTTAGACTCGTTATGTTCTGATGATGATAGATGGAACGAAGAAATGTAATAACACGAAAATAGTTAACTTTAAAAAAAAAAAAGAAAAGATGAAATTTGAACGTAGTTAGAATTAATATCTTCGAGTACAAATTCGAAGATATTGTACCTATAAACCACCCGGAAGAAATTATCTGCATAATACAGCATCAAAGTCCGTTGTGTACGTAGTTTAGAATATCTAAACATACATAGGGACAGAAAACGAGAAACAACTTTGTTTTATTTCTGGTATAGGTACATAACAAAAATAATCTTCGAGTAATTACTTGGAACGCTCAAACCATTACAGGTAAATTGACTGAGCTCGGACAATTCCTGGAGGAACAGTCAATCGGTGTTGCCTGCATCACCGAAACCCATTTATCCCAGAAAGTCAAACTTTTCGTCCCAAACTTCAGATCCTACAGAAGGGACCGTGAAAACTCCCGATGTGGTGGCGTAAATATCCTCGTTAACAATTTTTTAAAACACAGGCCCATATCTTTGGCCACTAACTCATTTGAAGTCTCGTTAACATCGGTCCTCAGAATCATTTCCCAGTATTCCCCTCCATTTGAACAAATTCTTTGGAATCACCCCCCCCCCCAAACGTTTTTACCATCGTCGCAGACAATCTCAATGCCAAACACACCTTCCAGCCCTAATCGAAGGTAGCTGCCTACCGTTCATGACCAACAACCTCGCCAGATTGGTGAAACATTCTCCTTCAAGAGCACTTAAATGCGCATAATAGCAGAACTCGATGAAGCTGTCAATCTTTCAAACAACATTACCAGAGCATTGGAGCTCTGCACGAACTCCAAAGCCTCCTTTTCCTGGAAACCCTTCTCGGCAGATATTCTTGCCCTCGTCAAGAAGAAAAGCCGCCTGTGGTAACACTGTAATCCCACACACCGTGCCAAACTAAACGCCATTCAACGAGAACTTAAAACTCGCCTAACCGCAGCGCCACCTTGGACGGTTACATAGCCCAGGCAAGAAAACTTTCTGAAACCACTTGCAAAATTCTCCGAAACAGAGCTCCAACTGCAATCTTTGCAGCCTCTTTCTGTCTCCAGTGCTTCCTGCTGACTTTCATGAGCGAACCAAAGCAGCCTCCCAAAACTTCGTCCCTACTGTTTTCGACGTCAAACAAGCGTCCCCCTGCGAAATCTNCTTGTTCCAACTATTTCTGTCTTGCTCACGTCTAGTGTGTATTCTTTCTATCTTCGCGCAGATTTCTTCAAGGTCACAATTCAAACAAATTGAAACGGGCTGTACTGGTATATAAGTGAATTGAGAATCGAACATAGGGATATTACATGCAATCATAACAGGCGTCATTAGGTATCTTTTAAAAAATACGACGTACAGGGAAATTCGAACAAATACTTTATACTCTGTATGTAATAATAAAAAGAGAGACTGTACAGTGCAGATGCTCAGGTCCGCCAGACCATGTTCTGCCTGAGTGGGTATTTTTCGGAATTTTTCGTACAGGAACAACTACCCACTTCACCCACATTATCGACCGGGTTTGCAGATGCTGAGTGAGCCTTTAGGTAGCGTTCTCTTTCATTCCTGGTATAACTATACGATTAAAAAATCTAGCAACCAAGGAGCAGTATTGATTAAGATTTTCCATCATTCATTATTGCTGGTTCCTATTTTATTTAAACTCTACGTAATAATATTTTTTATTCAAGATTGACCGAATTGAGATGTCCATGCCTAATAAACATTATTATACAGTTGATTTATCCAAATTTCCTCAATCAGTAATAGACACCAAAGAGAATAAAGAGGTGTATCAACCAGTTGACAAACCAGCCGGATTTATTTATGCTGAACTTTTGAGGAAAAATCATGTTTCAAAACTTTAATATCACATGCAGAATATGTGCATCTATTTTATCAAGATAAATAATATGTAAATTTCAATATAAATGTATTAATCCAAATAAACCACTTAGGTACTTCAATGTTGTTTTATACCCAATTCACCTTATTTCGGAAGAAATGCATAGAGAAAAATATAATTAACTACATTATTTTATTCGTTATTATTTTGCGACGTGAATGATGTTTCGTGAACTAAANTTCAACACTTTACAACTTCGCCCCTAAACTAATCGACCGTTCCAGGAAGATAAAATTAGCACTCTTAAAGTAACTGCAGAAATCAATAGTTGGATGAACTCTTAGCAAAAAATGTCCTGTACATGTTTTTATACAAATCAATGCTTACTGAGTAATCCGAATTTAAATTCTGTGTTTTCATCCAAAAATGCATGTTTTGGTACGGTTTTTCAAGTTTTGTTAACGGAACTAGCAGTAGCAGATGCAGCTGCTGTACGAATATAACGGGATCAACACAGTAACGACAGTAGTCAAGTTATACGTTTATTTATTGCTATTTTAATAACAATAACCTATAACTAATTATATCGTTTTAAGTTTCATATTTATTTTCAATTTTTAAGTTTAAGTATAAGTAGTTGTTCAGTGGTTTTGCATCTTGATTAGCATAGGTGCTTACACGTTATTTATTACTTTTTGTCAAATGTCATATGTATATTTCTATATACCATATGCGTATTACTTATATATGATATGTGGAGTCCGTGTGAGGTAGTAGGGAACATATTTATTATAATTTGTCCACCAGAGCATAATTCGGTAATACATTGCAGAAGTGGCAGTAGTGTAAACGCGTGCTTTGTGCGTCATTATTTTTAATAGTTCTGAAGTTTTGAATTTCGCTGTTTTAATCTAATATTTTCAAATATATAAGAGAAGATTAGGTAACGAAACAGAAGAATTTGATGATGATAGAGGTGACCGACACATACATTTAAATGTTATGTTTGAAGAAGACAAGCCTGAAGGTAATAACAAAGCAGAAGTATACGAACCTTTTGAAGAAGCAGATAATTCTCCAGATAGAGCTAATGCTTCAAATGAACTGTATTTTCTAAAATTTGGATGTTCTCGAGAATATGAATCTCAAATACCTGGATGTCAAAAAAGAAAAAAATACTGAATAGTTGTCTGTTACGTTACTTTCAGATATCAGTCCTTTACCGTTATTTATTTACGAAAATAAAAAAACAAACAAGGAAGGATTAAAATCAACTTTTCTTACTTCAATACCAAACAAAGATGATTTGGAAAATATAGAACAGGAAAAGAGAAGAAAAATTGAAGAAAAAAAAAAGGAAAGCAAGCATCAATAAAACAACGATAAGAAAAGTGTTTAGCGAAAAAGAAAGATTCCTAATGAAAAATTATTTCAATCCTCCTCTCAATCAGAGTCGTAGTTTTTACTTGATGATGGCAGCAACGATATAAATTTTTCTGAAGCCAATCAGTGGTCCAGGCGAGTTTGCTTTGGTAAAAGTTCATGTGAAAACGAAAAATTTATTCCGACTTTGTCTAATGCCTTAATGCGAATAACTGCATTGATGAACAATGGTTACAATGGATTTATTATAAAAGATCATCCAACACAATGCGCTTTATGGAAAACGAAGAAGAGTTTTTTGTTAACACAGTTGATATTATCAAGAAGCTCTTCAAATCATTGCTAGGAACTTTTGCGAGATTCAAGGACTTTGTTAGTTTTCTACAGATTTGATGTTACATTTACATTAACTTTATACATTTTTGTTTAGGTCTGATAAGTTTTTGAAAATAATTCTAAGTTCGTTTAGAAAAATATATGTCTTTAAAGATGTATATTGGCTTCAACTTATATGAAACTCTTTTTATTTAAAAAGAGCAAAGATCCAAGACGCGGATTCTTTTCCGCTTAATGGAGCAAAGATCCGAATTGTCATATTTTATATTGCATCCTCTAAATTTTTTCTAACAAATATTTTGCCTGAATTTCATATTTAATGTCAAAGGAATTAATGACTCCAACATGCCGATGTATTTCAAATTCATAATAAAAAGGAATGAGTTACAAATAATTTCAAATGCGAAAATGCGGACTTCTGCCCCCACCTACCCTATGTATCAGGTTCAACTGAAATGAAGGAAGAAAAATATGAACTGTAATGTGATTTTTCATTGTCAGCGTTAATGAATATCTCATTATTTTTATAGTATAACTTTTTCCGCCATTCAAACGACCAACGTGCGCAAGCTTTATACGTATAACAATGTACATCGATTTTTATTTTACTATACTTCTATTTTTTATACAGGTAAATAACTGATCAAGAAAGGAAATAATAGAGTAATATGGGTTTAACAAATGATTTCCTTTGGTTGGATGTAATTACATTGAAATGGAATGACAAAATAAAACTTAATTTGCTAATTTCACATTCAACATTTAAATTGTTAACATCTGAAAAACTAATTATAAACATCAGTAATAATTGACAAATCGTCAACAATTGAATAATATCGATAAAA